CATCAACATCAGTGCTAGACATCATCAAACATCAGAGCCATGATCAACATCATCAATATTAGTTCCATCATCAACATCAACGACATCCACCACCACCGTATCCACCCTCACGATCCACTCCACCCAACCATACCCTATCCGCTTCACAGACCATCAATATCCCCTTCCCCTACATCTGCGCCAACGGCACCGGAATCCCCAAAGATCCGCCGCTTTAAACCCTTGTGATCTGCAACGAACATGGGTTTTCCCAGAAAATCTATACTATTAGAGCATCTCCAATGCACTAGGCATATAATACTTATTAGTTAAAATGCCTAGTGTGATTCACTTTTTTCAATTCCAATGCACTAGGCATATGATTAGGTATTTTGGCTCAACTCATATTCACTAGCTACATGTAGCTAGCCTTCAACGCTAGGCAAAATGTATTCAATCATTAGGATCATTTCCCTCCATCTTTGTTGTTGACATGGCATTCTATAAAATTAATAGTATTTGGATAAATAGCTAAAATAAAGAGCATGGTTGGAGTAAAAACATAAAACAGTTGATAGGCAAAATAAAATATATACTTTATAGTAATATTCAGATAGGTAAAATGCCTACTACCGTTGGAGATGCTCTAATGCTTGGGACCCCCTTTTGGGGTCACCCCCTCACCCCCCTTTTGCCACGTGGCAGGGGGTGATTGGTGGAGCAGGAAAAAAAAAGAAAAAGAAAAAGAAAAGGTAACCAATGAGAGAGAGAGGGGGTCAAAGGGGGTGGGGGAAAAGGGGGGATGAATCATTGTTGTTGGGAGGTGGGCTTTTTGAGAGATGTGGCGCATAGTAGATATCCTCGAAACGAGACAAGGAAATTTTTTTAAGAGGAAAAAAAAAAAAAAAGTTTTTTTTTTTATTTTTTTTATTCTCTGGAGTGATGGTAATTTTTTTCCCCCGTTGTGTTTGGAAAAACTTGAAAAAGGTTTAATTGTGGCCTCCAACTAAATAGGCCCCAATGTCTTGCCTGAAGTTTTTTAAAATTTTTTTCTAATGGGTTATTTATTTAGAGCACTTTGGGGTTCATTGGCATTGCGCTTTCTGTCCCGATGTGTGGTAAAAAATACAGCTGTTAATTTGAAGCAATCGTATTTGCAATTTTAAAAAAACTGTCATACATTGACCCTGACATTGGACTACATTTTTATGACGGATGCCACAACATAATTTATAAGTAAATGCCTTTATATAGAGACACTATAATCTTATATAAAACATGTATGAGAAATCAAATATTAATATCCATTAATTTTATTACAGAGAGTATATATATGGATAAAAGGTAATAACTCTTTTGATGGTGGAGTTTTTTTTTTTTTTTTTTGACAAAAGTTTTAATTATATGAGCGTCTGTATGGCAAAGAGATGTTGAAGTCCTTCTCATTGTTCATAAAAGAGTTGGGGGGGGGGGCAAGTGTTTGCCGACGCTAATTTATGTACAAAATTTTCCTATCGACAGGTGGATCAACCCTCAATTGAGTGACACGTACTTTAAGTTCTAGGTTGGACTAGTTGGCTTCAGAAAACAAGGGTCACCAGGCGTTTCGTGCCTATGGGTTTAACATTGCACTGGTGGAGCAGTTAACTGGCATTGATCATCGGACTCTAGTAGGCACACAAGTCCTTCAAGAGAAGCATGAAACAAAGTGAGAGTCCTTGTCTCTGTCAAGGAAGTA